ACGATTTCTGAATAGTTCATAATGCCCCCTTCTTTTCTTTGTGTATTTGCTGATGTGTTTGTTGGCTTTTTTGCTGCGTGTGTGTAGCTATATGTGCTGAATCAAAGGGGGTTGTTTATCAATTCCGAGCAATGTGCCTTCTTCTGTGAGAGCAGGAGCTAAACCAAAGGTAACTGTGAGGAATCATCTTTGATAGTTGAAATTGCAGCTATATGAGCTAGGGCGTATGAATCAAACGGGGTTGTTTATCAACCCCGAGCACTGTGCCTTCTTCTGTGAGAGCAGGAGCTAAACCAAAGTGAACTATGAGGAATCAACTTTGATAGTTAAAACTGCAAATCTCTCGGTACTTCTACCTGCACTACAACTCCACCTGCTAGGATGCATCGAGAGAATCAGAGACGTCAAGGCATTTTCAAGTTGACAATCTCTACAGAATTGGTGCCGCCAAGTCATTCTCGTAGATGGTTGGGGGGTTAGTTGGCCTTCGGGCTCCCCAAGTCTCCTTTATTGAATGCTCCAGTGATTCTTGCCTATCTTGCCTTATGCACTTCAATTTTATAGAGCCCAAAGGCTGTTCAGTGTCAACCGCTTCATTTTATAGATTTGTGGAAAATACTTGACAGATTTTGAAAATCGCTTTGTTTCGTTTTGTTTCCATTTGTTTCCCATTTGTTTTCTTCCGTTTGGTTTTTTTCTAGCGGAAAGGCCGCAAGTTTGGCTCGAAGACTTCGACCCAAAAACGGTGAGATTCACTGGGGAACACAATGGGGAGAAAGAAAGGAGAAACACAACGGGGAAACACAACGGGCAAATACAACGGGAAAATGATACAAAGTAAAAAATAATTTTTATACTTTGTAAACCAGAAAAAATTGCTTTTATAACATATTGAAACGTCAAAATTATACAATTTACTCAATATAACTAATAAGACCCTAATAATGGATTTCCAAAAAAAATTCCAATATATTCCAAAAATATCCAAAATTTTAAAAGGTGTCAGGATTTCAAATAATACCACAATAGACAAAATGATCAAGGGTGACCAAAGATGATCAAGGATGGTCAAGGATGATCAAAGATGATCAAGGATAATCAAGGATAAACAAGGATGATGTATTGCTAAGGGGTCGGAAG